TATAGCAATTCCTTATCTTGGACCTCTAAAGTGTTTAAGTATTTATAATCAAAGCTAATTTTTTATGCAGTCGAATTGAAAAAGTGAGACACAATGGGCTAAGTCCTTTGGCTAAACACATCACAGCAGTCACATCCTTAGAAACAGGGTAGAGTGTAGGTGCAGCCAGAGTGTCAGAGATGAAATCTTAACTCTTCTACTTACTGGATGTATGATCTTGTGCAAGTTACCTCATCTCTTTATACCTCAGTTTTCTAATCTTTAAAACAGAGAATGGTAAGAGCATTAAATTACTTAATGTATAAAAGCACTTATAACAGGAATTCACACATACTAAATACTCATTAAGGAGCCCTGGTAATGCAGTGGTTAAGTGCTCAGCTGCTAACCAAAGGGTCAGTGGTTTGAATCCATCAGCTGCTCCATAAAGATTATAGCCTTAGCAACCTTACGGGGAAGTTCTACTCTGTCCTATAAGGTTGTTATGAGTCACAATCAGCTTAAAAGCAACTGGTAAATGCTCGCTGAATATCAACTACGTCATTATTTGCCTATCTGGGCCTTGGGACTCTTCTATATTAGGAAAAAAAAAATTAATCAGTGTTTCCCAAGCTTTTCTAATTGTTATTGAAACATATTAAATTATGCCTTCCCAAGACTCCCTCCTGCAGATTCTGATTGATGGTCTGGGATAGGGCCAGGAATTTGTATTTTTAATTTTTATACTATATGCATTTCATTTTAAAGAAAATTTCACAAACACTGGCCTATACCCCACTGCTATCAAGTCGATCCTGACCCATAGCGACCCTATAGGACAGAGTAGAACTGCCCCACTGGGTTTCCAAGGCTGTAATCTTTACAGAAGCTGACTGCCGCATCTTTCTCCAGTGGAGTGGCTGGTGGGTTTAAACCACTGACCTTTCAGTTAGCAGCTGAGCACTTTAACCACTGCATCACCAGGGATCCTTCACTGGCCTATACTATTTATTTATTCAATAATTTAAATATCCATCCATTCATTAATTAATTCATTCAACAAATACTTAATGAGAATTTGCCAGGCACCATCCCAGGTGCTCGGAGATACAGTGATATACCAAGTTCTCTACTCACTGGAGCTTCGAAACCTAGTAGAACAGATATTAGACAAATAATCACACTAATATCCATGCAGCTACAATTGTACAGTGTGCTATAAAGGAAGAATAGAAGGTACTTGGAGATCTTGTCATCAGAGACCTTTCCTATGCTATGGGGCAGGAGAGGTGGAGAAGGGAGGTTTACAAAGACTTCCCTGAAGAAGTGATTGCTAAGGTCTCTTGTGGCTCTGACATTGTATGTCTATGATTCAATCAGCTTTCTACTCCAGCTGCATCTTACCTGCCAAGAAGAGAAGAAGGATGCTGGGCTGAGTAGGTTAGGGTTTGCTGGGTGGTGCCCTCCCATGTACTCATCTGTGCAAATGTTACAGTCTTCTGCATCCCGCCAATCCCAGTAAGGAATAGTGAAGTTCTCATCCCCTGTCAGCCTCTGGATTTCTTTCTCCCACAGCAGCAAGAAGAGTCTATGCCAAGGCAGGAAGCCTGGTGCTTCATGAGCAAAATCAATGTCACTCCAGATTTCAGACCCTCCGAGCAGTGTGTCTCTAGACACGTAATAATGCATCCAGACAAAGAGGTCATAAATGTTGATGTCACTAAACATGGGTGTTGATCCATTGTTCATTTGGCCATAGGTGCCCGTGGGGATAACATAGTCTGGACTGGTGGTATGCTTCGCTAAAGTAAGGTAGGCAAGGAATTTGTTCTTCTCTGGGACAGTCAAATCAAAGATGTTTCTTCTTACTAACAGTCGCCTCTCAGTGCAGTTTGGCCCCCAAAAGCCAAATCTACAAGTTCCACAGTCAAATCCCATGAAGTTTCCAGAGCACTGGCAAGTCCTGTTATAAAAGACAGAGGGCCAAGATTCCCGGTCATCCACCCCTGTGAAGGGGAATTGAGGCCCGAGTGGTGCATTGGACAGAAGGATGTCCTGACAGGAACCCCTGCCTGAAAGCTGGCCACAGGGACTCCCATCCCCACGCCACAGCGGGCAGCACTCCTTCTCCATCAGGTTCTTTGAGGACACACAGGCTCGAGGGAAATGGCCGGTGGA